ACTGGAGCCATGCATAGGGTGTATGCAGACTATTGCTAACATCAAGCTCATCAAGAACTGCCAGGAGCCAAACGAAGGGGAGTGCCAGCAGTGCTACTGTCGTCCCATGTGGTGCCTCACCTGCATGGGCAAATGGTTTGCCAGCCGACAAGATCAGCAGCGCCCAGAGACGTGGCTGTCAAGCCAAGTGCCTTGTCCGACTTGCCGAGCCAAATTTTGCATTTTAGATGTTTGCATAATACGATGAGTAATACATGGGTATGTTTTAACTTTTTAAACTTCATTATTTCAGAGTGGGTTTGGTTAAAAGGCCTGTTAGATTTGTTTCTGAGACTTCATGTTCTACAAAGGTGCAGGCTCCAAAGCTTTCTTTTATAGTGTTGAAAATAGATGTAAATCTTTTCAGTTCCTCTCAACTTTCACTTGTATCTTTGGGTTTTATTTCCTAGATGTCAGTTTATGGAATTTTATTTAATTCAGACTTTGTTTTCTTCTTGGGTTGAATAAGGATATACCTTTACACTTACAGTACTGTCCTCTTTTTTAAGTTTCAACGTAGTTTAAATTCTTTCAGTTTTTAAACTTAACTTGGGTTTTTTATCCTTTAATAAAGGGCTAACTGAGAAAATTACTTTGGTTAGACTTCATTGATACTTTTGTTCTTCTTCAATCCATTTGTAAAGTTCTTATTAATCTTTAGAAGTATTCACTGAATAAGTATACCATTTGTGTTCCTTGTGCTGCTCCCCTCCACTAAGAAGGGGGACCATTTTCTGTAGGCTAAGGAATTTAATCCCTGAAGTGTGTAACTCCCACGGGACCTTTTATTCCAGTAATCTGCTTCTGGCTTATGTTTTTATGGATGTATTTGTTTCAGACAACAGAAGGAGTTGGAAACATTCCCCATTTACTTACACTGCTAATGGTATGCTTTGTGAAATCTGTTGGCTGCTAGAAGCTGCATAGCTTAGGGTTTCGGTGCTCTTTAGGTGATGGACATGGGGTTTTTTATACATTTGAATAGAGTGCAGCAAACATCTGAACTATCTAAATACTCTGAAAGAATGCTCAGCTGTTCCAAAGCCCATAAGCTTTTTCTGAGGGGTAATTTTGCCTCTAAAATTAATGTCAGGATCACAAAGGTAGAAGTTGACATGCTAGATGCCTGAAGAATGATTATCATTAGCAAAAGGTTTTCAGGCTTGCAGCTCCGGGACTGATCATAAGCAGTAGTTGCTGGTTTTAATATTCACGGTGTACTGATGTACACTTGATCTGATCTGCATCAGAGTATTCTGAAAATTAAACCCAAAGCATTTTCAATACATTTAAGAGAGCCTTACTCCTAGACCTAAATGCAATGCTTCGTCTTCTAGCTATCCGTCTTACCCTTAAGTGAACAATTCTTTGGCATACTTCATGGGGGAAAGCCTCAAGCTGCTAGAGAATGGGAGTTGTTACACTGCCCTGTGCACTGCATGGGCCAAGATACATGTATTTGCTTACTTTGATTGTCCATCTTAGCAGGCTGGTAACCTCAGGCAAACAGTTGGGTCAAATAGAGAAAGGAGCATTTTGATGCTTTGGTCTAAGAGAATAAAAGCCTAAGATCTTTCACCTGCATAGTCAGAAGGATCACCTTAGTAAATTGCCTCAGGTCTTGCAGAAAGTCCATCTCCAGCTTTTTTATAGGCCCCTGCCTTAGGTATTGGCAGGTGATTACATGAAGACATCTTGACTGCAAAGGTGTTTTGAGCAGGAAACTGTTTTGAGCAGGCACGAGGCAGGATGTTAAAAACTGTACAAGCACTGGAAGCATGAAAGATGTAATTAGTCTCAGCCAAGCCACAGGTCGTGTGGTGAACATACCAAACTGCACTCAGAGCCAGCCAGATGGAAAATGGTTATGAATGTGGCTGCAGGCATTGTTTTGGAGAGGGATGAGGAAATGAGAACAGATTTGACAGCATCATTTGAGATATGTTCTAGTGTTGGTGTTTTTCAATAATATGCACTTTTAAAAGTTCAAACTGTTTGGGTTCAAGGACATGGAATTGCTTGAGGGTGTCTCAGTTGTTACATACTGAACATCAACTATGGAATTATCTATAGTAGCTATTAATAACAGTGATTTTTCATATTGTGTTCTTTTGGATTGTGTAGAGTGAAAATTTGACATGAGACTGGTAGTGTGGATGTGTCTGTTTCCCAAAGAGTCCCTTTGGAACAGGATAGGATTGAGTTCCTGAGTTTCAGATGGACTTGTTGTCAAGCCTGAAAACTAAACAAAAAATCAAGGAGCTGGTCTGTGATTTAATTTAAAATATTTTCCGGTACTTCTGTCTGTGGGAAGGTTATTTGAAAGTTTGAAATGTTCTCTGCGGAGTTTTTTAACCTTGAGCTGATTCTTGCAGGGCTGAGTGGTGTCATCAGACATGCACCTCCTCACACACAGCAGACTTTACAAACAAGCATTTTGAACCCATTACTTCTTGGGAGTTCACATAACTTGGCACAGATAGAAGGGCTGTTGTCCTTGAAGCACCTGCAGAAGAGAGGGTAGGATTCTGGAGCTGTGGTTTGGCCACTGACAGTCATTCAATTCCTAGAGGTCTTCTCCTATTTGGAATAAAAATATCTATTGTAAACATCAATGAAGTTAAAGTTGTAAAGGCCTTGAGAAGCTCGGATTCTTGATACAGGTAATTGCAGATGGTTTTATACAAGAAAAACAGGTCTGTTTCCAATAGTATTTCATGTAATATGAGCTTTAGTCTGCTGATTTCTTGTGCTGTGGACTTGTTTTTGCAGAAATCTACTTTGAAATAATTGGAAGATTTCATTTCAGTGGAACTTTACTTTTACTCGTCTTATTTCTTTTGCCAGTATAACAGTGTGAGAAAGTAACAGCCATAAATGTATACTACGCTTGCATCTTTTAATGGTAGTGCTCTATACACAGAAGTGCCTCTTGAAACATAGTAATAATTACCAAAACCAAATTATGATTTATGCTAATAATAGTGCTTGGCTTAAATTCCTTAAAACAATCATTTTTCCCCCAAGTTTAAATTCTCAATATGATCTGGCATGCCTCCAAAGTTTGTAAGCTTCTTCAAGGCTGTGTTAAAAACCCACCTTGTTAAAAGTCCATATTCATAGAGACAGCAGAGGGAGGAACTGTGACCTCTCCCTGCAGAGTAATGTGATAAATATCTTGAATAAATCACTGAATATGAAAATAATACAGTATAAAAATAGACATTTATCTTCATGGTAGTTTCAGATCATCATCTAAAGAACCACATATACATATAGGACTGTTTCTAGAGAAAATCTTTACTTGCAGTAACAAGAAATACATTTTCTTAAACATGAGAAGAGGGTTTAGAATTGGTCTTTTTATAGCACTTTCTAAGAAAAAAAAAAAAAAGAACCAAGTAATGTGATGGGGTAAAATTCTTAAAAGATTTTTATTATCAGTGATTTAGTGTTGTATTTTCAGCTGTGTATATGTTTTTCCACATCACTGACTTGTAGGTGGGCAGTGTTAGTAATCTGAAGTATGTTACATAAATGTAATGTCATTACAGTAAGACAATCTATATGTGGGTGCACAATGTCAGTATAAATACTCCATATGTGTGTATACATGTAGAGCCCAAATGTCCCCATGTGCTGCAGCTGAAGAGGTGTTTCTGAAAACATGGGCTGTGGCTGTATTATTTATTTACAGTTGTGTTATTTCTTTAATCGTAGCATTCCAGAAAGTCCTGGCAAAATGTTATCCATTGATTTTTTTTTTAGGTTAACATAGTTTGCTAAACAAAGAAAAAAAAGGCATTTTGACCAAGCACAATGTATTTTGGATCCATTAGATTAATGCAGTCCTTTACCACAAGGCTTGTCATAACTTGAAACCAAAATACCAGCTTATTATATTATTTCTTCAGTCTATTTTTATTGTGTTGAAACTTGGTCAACTGCAGCTATGTACCATTCCAGTCAGGCTGCACCTCAGCAAGACATAACTGACTGAAGTTCTGAGTGCCATTTCTTAAGAGATGTTGACTTTGAGGTATTTAAGGAGTTGAGGTATAGTCAAGCTTTTACATGCATTACAATAAATTTTCTTCCAAAGATGTATCACAGGGTTTGTTGTTTTATTCTTGTTTTGCTTTTTACCGGGATAGCTAGCCTGTTTTAAAACACACAGAATTATTTGGATAGCCTTTAAGGAAAAGGCTTAATGAATACTTATAGTTAATCTTAAAAGTCTCTGAAGAGCTGAATAAAAATACAGTTGATTTTATGTATGACTTCTGCTTTTCATTTTAAATTTACCTTTGCCAGTTTATATAACTTCATATGGGTGGGAATCAGACTATACGTTTCAGCTGAGAACAGCTGAATACAAAGTGGGCTTAAATCCTTGTGAAGGCGCACCTGATAATGCCTTCTTTGATGAATTTTCCTACTGTAACCCGAATGCAGAGGGTGGCATAAATGGAAGGTCTGTGAAATCTGTGTATCTGAGGAAAAACAACCAAAAAAAAAAAACACCACCAACTAAGAAAGCGCAAACAGGGGAAGGGAGTGAACACCGAATGGTATAAAATCAGTAGGGGCAATGACTTTTGTCTTTTCGGGGTCTCACTAGCATACAGCAATGATGCCTCCTACATAAAACAATTCTTTTACCGTGGACAAGGGATGTTAACAAGCACAGGCTACAGGAGAACATAGTGTATGCCATTAACAGTATAAAATGCGGCCCCATTTCTCAGGGGTGTATGTTGCGGTGCCTGTACACCCCTTTCCGGAGCTGATTTACCTCAGAACATCCAGCAGACAGACCAACGTGGCCTGAGACGAAGCCTGTTCATGATCCTAACGCCCCACAGCCCCTTCCAGCCCTCACCTCAGCACACCCGCTGTCCCCACAAACAGGCAGCTTGTGCGCATGTGCAGACACCCGCCTTGGGTCAGGACTCCCGCGCATGCGCGCTGCCTCTCTCCGCGCCCCGGCGCAGCCATGTTCCGCGGCGGCGGCGCCGCTCGCCTCAGCCATGTTCGGAGGGCAGCGGGGCCTGCCGCGCCAGGGAGGCGGCGGAGAGCAGCCAGGCGGGCTGCGCAGGTAGGAGCCACCGCGGAGAGACGGGGCGGCCGGGGTCTGGTGGGTGTTGGTCTCTTAGGGCGTCTGTAGCACTGTGGGGAAGGCTGTTGTGGGGGTAGGCCGCAGGGTGCGCTTCTTCCGCCTTCCCCCCACGCTTCAGCCTCGTCCTCTTCGGTACCCGCTTGTCGTCCTCTACCAAAGATCTTCTCCTGGGCCCCGCGGGCAGGCGGCCTCAGTGGAGGAGCCTCCTTGTAGAGCCTCCTTTGGTCTTTGCTGGCAGCGGGTAGGGAGCTGGGTTCGGAGTGTACTGCAGGCCGCAGCCCAGGCATCGGTGTGTGCACCTCGATTAGATGCCCTGAGTCCGGCTGGGGGTCTCTGGGGCTGCTTTTTTGGGTGACCCTGAAGCGGGCGGGTTGGAGTACTTCTTAAAAGGGATAATTTTCGGCTCGCATTTTTCTCTAGGTTTTCAGTGTTGTGCCTAAGGCACAGTAAGTATTGTGTGTTTCCCCCCATTCCCCTTTTCTTTCAAGTCTCTGAATTGAGCGATTACTGTTGAGGGTGGTTAGAGAAGGGTTTTTATCCAGTGACTTAAGTTTTGCAGAAACCAAATGTGTTGAAAGTGCCCCATTGCCTAGGTCCGTGATTGGAAGTGAGCTATTTGTGCTGCGTGTTTGCAACTTTGAGCTCACTGTCTGTCCGTACCAGGAAACTTCGGCAGCCAGTCAGGGTGAAGGAGGAAGGGAAAGAAAACATAAGTTGTAAATGCAAGATTAAAATAACCAAAACCTTCCTTCTCTCTCACTTGTTGACTTAAAACCTGCAGAGATCTTGTATACACAGAGCAGTGTGTTCACTTGCACTGAAGGAACAGCAGTATGTTTGCTTTGTGGTCTGTAATACAGGATTATACTCTCAGGCAGGCAGAGGTGGACCTGCAGGTATGGTCCATAGCCCAGAAACCAGGTCTGATGTTAGTAGGTGCTGTGACAGTGCTGTGTTTAGTAACCTGTCATTTAAAATGTCAGAGCTCCTCCTCAGTTGCTCCAGATCTGAGGAGAAAAATGAAGATATCTCTTATTAATTTTAAAGCAATCTCTGGTTGTCCTTCCAGCATGTTGCAAGCAGCCCTAGTCTAGCTCCTTCTCCCATGCTTACTTGCGTATAAAAGTGTTCCACATAACTGCTTGACCTACTTCTTAGGCGTGCTGATTTTGTTTCACCACTTCTGCAAGTTAAGTACTGGATAGAATGGTATATAACTGTCAAATAATGTGTTGCTGACAGATAACATTCTGTGAGTGTTGATGTGACAGCAGTTCCATAAACAGTGTTGGCAGCCCTCTGTTGGTTTTTTCTCTTTTCCGTTTGCAAATTACCTCAATACTAATGGTTTATTTAAAAGTTTCATTAGGCAAAGACATTTGCATTAGGCAAAGACAAAACTGCATTGTCTGACACCTCTGGTAAGTTAGTATTGCTCAGATAAGGTGGCACAAATCACGTATTTGCATGCCAAATCAGCATTTTTAAAATACACCATGGTACCCAGATTGTCCGTATCTGTTTTGCATAAACAGTGTTCAGTAACTTGGATTTCTGATGAAAATTCTTGGTTTCTAGTTCTGTGCAACCACACTGCTGGCGTCAAGAACAGGAATGTAGGAGCTGGAATGATTCAGATTCTTTGGTGTTGGATGAATATCAATGTAGACATTTAGACCAGTGGTTGGAGAGGTAAGGAATAAATGTGAAATTTGTTTAAACCTTCTCTTTGCTGGGCTCTTCTCTCTAGGAATCCAGCAAAACCTTGGATATAATTGAAGGCTTTCTAATAACACAGTAGCACAGTTAGAAAATTATTATCTGCATTATGCAGGAGTCGGTGTCTCTGCCCATGGCAGGGGGGTTGGAACTAGATGATCTTAAGGTGCTTTCCAACACTAACTATTCTATGATTCTGTAATACAGTTTGGCTAATTGAAATATATGCCATAATATTAGGAAGTATTCCATATGAATGAGAGAAATTGCATATTCCGAGGCTGTGGTTTAAGCCTTAATTGCTGGTCTTCAGTGTTAGTATAAAATGTCCATTGAACCACTCTGCTGTTGCACTTCTACACTTTGCTTACTCATCTTTATGTGTAAATGTGGGTATACCATGGTGTTTGTCTCTTTACTTCACAGTGCACTTGGTATATTCAACTGTACTACAGTTTTAGTAGATACTTTTTTTTTCGGATAGTCCAAGGTTGAGAAGTTGTGAGTGCTTGGATATGTGCAGAAAACTGTGGTAGAACGTAAGTTAGAAGAGGTGAAATGTTTTAGTGAGGGCACAAGAAAACTTTTTTAATATGATTTATACATCTCTGTGTGTTACCCTGAATGAAGGTGATTGTCATTTCTGATGGCAAGTTTAATATTGCTTTAGCTAATGAATCTATTGAAGAGCTTACAAAAGCCCTTGTATTCAGGAGTGTTTTCAGTGTTATTGTTGTCATTAAAAAATACTAACACTGTGTTATGATTGTGAGTCAAACTGGATGTGCCAGCAGCATTTTGTGTTTCTTTCTGCTAAGTGGATATGTTCCTTCTTAGTATGGAATCTGTTCTGTGTTAAAATGACATTGACAGCATTGGATGATAGTTTCATTTGTTGGTGTGAAACTGTTTAGGGAATGTAAGATTGTAAGCTAAATCTACTTCTGTATTACTTACAGAATATTGAGGCACTGGCACTGAAAGAAGTGGACAGACTGAAAGAAGTTTTCAGTGCTTCACAATATTATAGCATTGTACAGCTGTCACTTACTACGTTTTTAAATTAATGAAGAACCTGGCAGTTCTCCACTCGGAGAATGTCAGTGATCCAGCTGATTAGTTAAGAGCTTCCTGGCTCCATCTTTGGCTTTACGCAACAGTTTACGTTCTTCAAATGATTGTGTTGGGATATGATGGTGTCTGGCAAAATCTGAGTTCTGCTCATGTGATGGGCATTTCTGTGTTTCTTGAGCATCAAATCATCAACCTTGTCCTTTACAAAGTCTTTTGCTAATGGGAGAGAGCAGTAACTAGACTTACTTGACCTCAAGTAGTTTCATGACTTGTGCTCTTTGGGGAGGTCCTCAAGCAGTAGGGAGAAGGGTTTGCATTAACTGAGCTTGAGTATATTAGGAGATAGTCAGGTCTGTGTTCTGACAGGAGATTCATGATCATTTTCTTTACCTGCAAAGTAAAACTGATAATCTTGCATCACAACACTGAAAGGTTTTAATTTTTTTTACTTTGAACTGAAATAGAGTAGGGGCATGCCCAGGGTTTTACAGCTGTGGAACTGGTTTTGTCCACAACTGAAGTTTCTGCTCATTAAGTATGTTGCAAGCAACAAATGTTCATATTCAGTTCTCCATTATTTTCCAGCTCTACAACACCAGAACATTCAAGGACTTTCTCTTGTCCTGACTGGGAAGACGGAATTGAAGAAGGCAAAGCTGTGAAAACATCAAATAAAAAAGTGACAAAGTGGGTATTGGACAATTATTAACTCTTGCTGTGTTGGTTTTAGCAATAGCCATCTGGTGATCTCTGACTACTTTGCATGCATTAATGAGGACTTGAAAAACAGCCAGGTGGTTTGATTTCAAGCCTGCAGGAACCCTAAGGAGACAGTAGTACTGAGAAGTCTTATCTCAAAAGCTACTTATTTGATCATTTAGATTCTCTTCTTTTTCAGCTTAGGTTGCCTATTCATTACAACTTTCCATAACAGAAAATAGTGTAATAGTGAAAGGACAAATGAAAACCAGCCACTGAAGCTAGGAGAGAGAAGTAGCTGTTAGATCTTTCAAGCTTGCCTCCTTTATATTATCCATCTTAGTTTTATTGAGTTTAAGCTTTTTCATATTTGTATTAGGAGGTTGTTACACATACATGCAAAAATCATGTATCTTTTGATTTGCTTGTTGTAGAATTAGCAGTAAGCTTCTAGTAAGGCAGCTCTAGCACCACTACCCTCAGATGTATGTTTACCTGTTACAAACCTGAGCAGTTTCATCAACTTGCAAAACCTAATCATGGAGTGATTAATTTGCTTAGCACAGTTTTCACTTCACTAATAAAGTAAGAGTTTTGCTTACTGTCTGTCAGAGTAAGAATAAACGCAGTTCTAGAGTATGTGTTTTTATAACTTGCTGCAAGGCTATTAAGGTTCTTTTCAACTTAATTCTAATTTTTTGCTTTTAAATTCTGTTTCAAGTGATTCTGCTAATCCAGCTGAAAGGGAAACAGATGAAGTGGTTCTGAGGAGAAGACAAAAACAGATCAATTTTGGAAAGAATACTCTTGCTTACGACAGATACATTAAAGAAGTTCCAAAGTAAGTTGCACTACATTTCGCATTTCTAAATAAACTCTTTACTTCTTCCTGCCATCTGTATAGATCAGCACACATATTCAGTGCACTTAGAATTGTATGAACAGTAAGTGATGAAAACATAATCGACTTCTATGAAAGAGAAGCCGTGTATTTTCTGCGTAAGAGCAAATTTAGATAGGGAAAATTCAAAGCTGAATGTTTCCTTTGTTTATTGCTGTTGCTAATAGCAAATATGCTTTAAATAAGTTCTGCATTTATCATCCCAGTTTCTTGTGATTGTTTTGGTAGGCCAATGCGAAGTTAATTGCTACCAAGAAATGTCAGCTTTGAATGAGGCTTGAGCAAAGCCTTGCGTTTAAGTATTGGTAAGGAAAACCAGTCTTCAGTGATTTATCAGTAACTGGCAGATCAAAACCTGTTTTTTTTCCCTTTCTCTGTCATTATACTTTGGGCTTCAGAGTCTGTGAATTGTGGCACTTTAAGCAAGATTTTTTAGCCAGCCCCCTCTGCTTACTACAGAGCTGTCAAGATTCAGAAGCTAGTCTGTACTACTGTGTGGATGTGCATTTGGGGGGGGGCAGGGGGTTGATGGGTCTCATTTGATTGGTCTGTGTGGGTTTTGTTGTTGTTTTGAGGGTTATTTTTAGAGGTGTTTTTTACATGTGGCTAGCTACATATAGTTGCTAGTTCTCTATGGATTCTACCTGTAAGAATCTGTTATGAAAACTGGCAGCTAAGTACAATGGACACTGCAAGGGTGTTGTTGAGCAAAACTTGAAAGACTAGATTTAATGACTAAAAATCAACAACAAATGCAGTAAATGATCAGATACTACATGGTATCATGGTTATATATTTAATAACACTTTCTTCAAAGAGCCTTGGCTTGCTTTGTGAATTTTAGTTTTGCTTGTCATTTTGTCATCAATGGTAGGACTGCAGCCAGTCTTAGGGTGATGCCTGGCACTTGCACAGCTTTGCTATCATCAGTTGAATCACAGGTGGAGAATAGGAAAGGGTGAGAACAGTGTTAAAAAAAAAAAACATGGGATAAACTTCAGAAAAACAAGTTGTCGGGGTGCTGTTTTAACAGGGTAGTTTATAATACTGCTCCTTAACAGGGATCTCTGTCTTGCAAAAAGTGTTATGGCTAAGAACATTGATCTGTGAAGCTGGTAAGGGACCACTTGAGACCAAAGTACTTGGTGTGATTGAAAACCTTACTGTAGTAAGCTTCCTCCCAGGCATAAAGCTGACTCCAGTATGGTAGCACTATAAACAGGATTGGTTTGTTCTGAAGAGACAGTTTAAGTGAGCTTTCTGGTGATGTTTGATGTTCAGGGTCCAGATTTGAGATAGCCTCTGAGAAACAGCACTTCCTGCCGTGGCATGATCCCAGACAGCAGCATTGTTACAGTGTCTGTCCTTTCGGTGGGAAGGGGTATCATTTGCATGTTATCCAGAGAATGGAGTGCTTTGTTTTCTATACTCCCAAGAGGCAAGTGCTGTTTAGAATTACAGCAGTCCCCATTGTGATAATGCATGGACAATGGTGAAATAAAAGTTCACTGAAGATAGTTGTGGGTTGATCCCTGCCATGAGCCAAGTACCCAAACAGCTACTTGCTCCCTCCTTCTCCCCAGTGGGACAGGAAAAGAATAGGAAGAGCAAGAGCGAGAAAAGTGATGGATTGAAATAAGGGCAGTTTAATAGGTGAAGAAATGGGGAAGGAAAAGCCAAGCAATGCAAATGCAATTACTCACTAGCTCCCACAAGCAGACTGGTGCCCTGACAGTCTGAGCAATGGCCACCTTGAAAGACACATCTTCCTCCACCCCAGTTTTTACTGCTGAGCATGACATTATCTGGTGTGGAATGTCCCTTTGGGTAATTCAAGTCAACTGTCCTAGTAGTTTCCCCTCTCAAATTTTTGTTCATCCTCAGCTTAGTAGCTGCAGAAGGGGGCAGAGCAGAATGGGAGAAAGAGAAGGCCCTGAAGCTGTGCAAGCACTGTTCAGCAGTGGCCAAAAATTAAGAGTGTTATTAGCACTGTTTTAGCCATAAATCAATACAGGGACTGCTGTGAAGGAAATTAGCTCCATCCCAGCCAGACTCAGTACAATACTAAATACAGGGAAACTAAGTTTGACTCAGGAACACTGAGGTAGAAGTAGCTGGAGGCTAGGACACTATGGAAGGAGTATGAGTTATGCTTCTTGTTTCGTATTTGTCCATGGGAAGTAGAGGTCTGCTTTTGGCAGATATCAGAGTGCTGGACTGGATGACCTTCTGGTGTGACTCTGTTATTGTTAGCTGTTGCCTGTGTTTTTGACAGTGTTCTACAGTATACACATTTCAGTTTAAAATAGGAGCATTTTATTTACAAGACCACTGATGCCTGTGTGATCTGATGGACTGAGGATTGGTTTGGGTTTTGTTGGGGTTTTTTTTAAGAATAAAAATCATGTTCTGAAATAATAAATATTGTATATTTACAGGAATCAGCGGATACCAGGAGTTCATCCTAGAACTCCCAACAAATTTAAGAAGTACAGCCGTAGGTCCTGGGACCAGCAAATCAGGCTGTGGAAGATAGCACTGCATGCCTGGGATCCTCCTACTGAAGAAACCTGGGATCTCCAGCCTGTGTGTGTATCACAGAATCACAGAATGGTTTGGGTCAGAAGGGACATTAAAGCTCATCCAGTTCCAGTCCTCTACCATAGGCAGGGACAGCTTCCATTATACCACTTTGCTCCAAGCCTCCTCCAGCCTGGCCTTGAACACTGCCAGGGATGGGGCAGCCACAGCTTCTCTGGGGACCCTGTGCCAGCACCTCAGCACTCTCATAGTGAAGAGTATTTTCCTAATATCCAATCTAAATCTACCCTCTTTCTGTTTAAAGTCATGGCTGAATTAAATTAGCATGTCTCTTACTTCACAGGAGGGCCCTGTATTTCATTTAGAGTATTGCTGACTGGGAGCAAGAGAAGCTATCAGGCTCGGAAATGGGAGTCTCCTTGAAAGCCTTGTTTTCCTGTTAGTCTTTTGAGATATTCCCATTATTTAGTCTAGATTCATCTCCCGTAAGGTGCTTTGGGGAGGAATGCATTTGGTCTGTCTGCAGTAGCACACTCCCTTCCCCTGTGGGTTTACAGTGATGAGCACAAAGCGAGAAAATATTTTACTAGAAAAGGATAGGCAGAAGCAGGAAATCAGTGATTACTGTTACCTGAACTTGATAACCTGTCTATCTTCCCTTCTACTGATGTCTGCGAACCCCCTTTCTCCTGCAATAACAGTATGTTACAGAGTTTGGAAAGTGTAAGAATATTAAGGAAAGCTTTCCGTGTTCTCTCTACAGGAGAGTGGCAACTGTGTTCAAGATGGAAATTGGGGGATTTCTTACCTTTTGGAACTATGAATTTCTGTAACAAGGCTAGCTCCCCAAATTGATGCCACCTAATACTTTGCAAGATTTAGACTATTACATGGGGAGAAAAAGAGTGAATGGAATTCTATTAGCTCTGTAACCTTGTTGTGTAAATAGTTTTAGCTGTGGGGTAGTTGACCTGTGGTAGAAATTGAAGTTGTTTGCACCGTTTGGATGTCATATGAGTTGAACTGTTAATTATTATTGCAGCTTAAACTGCATGTCAGATGGCTGGTATTTAAAATCCTTTCTTTTTTTTCTTTGATTTTAGTAGTACAGAACCCTCAGGTAATTCCCAGGAATGGTTCTGCAAGGATCAGGATATTTCTGGCTCCTTTGTTTTTGATGAAAAGCAGAAGAAAAATGAGTGTGAAGATGAGTGCAGACAGACTGACTACACACCAGGGAGGTATGAGAGAGAACTTCTATGGTTAACTTACTGAATGGTTGAATACGTGTTGATGCTGTCAGTTATTTGTAGGAAGTGTTTAATGAGAGGACAGTTAATGGTCAACTTCAGGGTTTGGCACTTTTGCTGTGGAATGTAAGCCATCGCTGGTACAGAGCATTGAATGAGGAAGAATTAGGGGCATTGCAGAATTGCATGATAAACAGCAGAAAACAGCAGTTGTTTTTCAGCTCCTCTGTTCATACAACGGAGTGCTGAGGTTTCTCTAAGCACTATTGGCAAGTGCTGAAAGTAGGAAACCTTTCTCAGAAGCAAGAGTCACCATACTCAGTTAACAGTATTACACCTATCCACAGAACAGTGAGGAGACTGACAGTGAAGCACCTCACACGCTTCCCTGTTCACTGAGATATCTTGATCCGGGGGCATGTTTGTGGAGTTGAAATGGTCTCTGATTCAAAGTTTCTTCTGTGGTTGTGACTGAGTTTGGTTTCCAAAATACAGTGATGTGGTTACCAGAATTTGAGCCATTTTCTTTATTTCTCTGCTATGACTGAAGAATCATACCTCAAAAAAAGTCTTCCTGTGTAGCACGTGCCATTATTTTGCAGAATACTGATAAGCCCTGATAAGCAGAACACTGATAGACACACAGATTGTTTTGTGTGTAAAATCTGTCTTTTCTCATAGTCCCTGTTCTCCAGGTTCTTCTCCTGTATGGAAACGCAGAAAAAGAAACAATTCTGACTCCTCCGTGATTTCAAAGAGCAAAAACCATTATGTGCAGATGTACCACACACTGGGAAGGTATGAAATGATTCTCCATATGGAGAATGATACCATGAACTGAATTTTGGAATATGATTCGTATTTATCCCTCAAATTATTAATAGCTTTAACTGTATCTAAATGTGCATGTAATTTAATGAGGAAGGGATATCATACCAGAATTGTGTTATATGATGGCAAATACTTACAGTGGTCCCTTGCAAAAGTGAAGATACTGGAGTGTCAGAAGACACAACATAGGTAATTCTGGGTGTGTAGGTTTAGGCAATACTAATGTATTGGTTTTGATTTCTCACAAAATCTAGTTTCTGCTTCAGAGGCTGTAATTCTTGACATTGTTAGGGATCTGCAAGTTATTTCTCATACCTCATCCATGCACTGCATTCTGCTTTGCATGCACTGCATTCTGCTTTTTGGCAGACAGAGTGTGTACAAGTCGATGAACATTACAATAAGGGAATGGAGCCCAGTGTGCCCTCAGAAGTTGGTCAGCAAATACTGAGACTCACTACCTATTGCCATGTTATGTTTGCTACAGTTGTTACAGAGAATATGTATCTGTGAAGGGATGTGAAAGAAGCTTTGTGTATGTTTAAGCTTTTCTTTGCCTTATGAAAGATATTATGGAAGAAAATACTTGTTAGAACAACAAGAAGTTGGTCACCCAGCCTGGGACTGGATCAAAGTGACGTTAATGTTCAAAAATTGGTAACAGAAGGGTCGAGTGGTTTAGGCTTCTCTTTCCTAGCTGCTGCATAGGAAATCTTTCTATAATTGAGAAATGATAGGTTGTTTGGAGGAAAGCATGGCTTAACTCTATACAGTTTTGTCAGCTCTGCTTTTCCAAGGGAACGGTGATTGAAAGGTTTTCACACTAGTCTGAGTAAAAATGTTTATAGAGGTGTATTTTTCTTTCTCTGCTTACCCCGCTTCAGAAGAATTAAGAGGAACTGTTACAGAGGTCTATGGTTTCAGACCTTTTCACTTTCTTTTTAGTCTTACTGAATCAGGAGATCAGGAGGCTCTTTCAAAGTGCTCAGAGTGGGAAGCTTTTGGTGAACACGATGAAGTAATGACAGTACAACATGGTATTGAAATAAGGTAAATACTGTTATGATTGTGACTTTCCTTTTATTGCTTATGCTGTGAATGTCCTGTCCTTTGCTTTTTTTATCTTTTTCTTTCACTGTTTAATACTACTTTTTCCCCTTACATTTCCTCTAACATGTGGTATCTCTGGTTATTTTTGTTGAGTTTACTTGGCTTTTTCCAGTCCAACTCCATCTATTGCTTCCTGCCAATTCTGCCGTTAAGTAATGCTGGAAGATGAAGAGCCCCTTTCACCCTCTCTGTTGCATGGAAAGCAATGGCATTTCACAGAATTGGTCCCTATTGTTTTTAGTGGCCTCTCACTTCCTCAGCCTAGGAGCTAAAAGCTTCCTCTCTGTCTCCCTAGAGATTAAGTTGTTTTGTAGCTGACCACAATGACAGTTATTTGTCTTCATGCAGTGACCCAATTCCAGCCAGCTGTTCTTCAGGATGGAGCAATCAGAAACAGAAAAATCCCAACTTTTTTCTGCCTGACAGCAAAACTTGGAGAGATACAGACTGCAGGCTTGAGAGGTATAAAATGCAGCTCATCAATGGGGGGCTTTTTTTGCATATGAAGGTTAGAAGCATAGTTGCATTATTGCTGTATTTCAATCCAAGATTTTAGTATAAAGGTATGTATTTTTCCCCTATGTTGCTTACGGATCTGTTGGCTAATGTTTATATGTTGCATGCTAAAATTCTGTCACATTCTCACACTGCAGTCTGTATTAGTGTAAATAGAGGTTGCAGCTGTATTTAGTATAAAAAGGTTGCCATAAGAAAGTCACTCAGTCTCGGGGGGTTTTTATATCTGTAGGCTTAAACTTTGTAGCGGCTTGTTGGAAGGACATCAGTCAGAATACCCTGAAAGGGGATGGGGACGTGCTGGAGAGAGAATAATGAGGAAGAACATTTAAATACCAAGGTGAGTTCAAGCTGACTACTTATTTTACCTTCTGGTTCAGTAGCTCATATGCAATATCATTCTATGGAATCCAGCTGTTCAGTTCAAGCAGATCAGTTTCTCTGTTTATTCATGTATTAGTATTTTATCCCATTCTCTTGTATTTAATGCATCACCTTAATTGAAAGATCTAATACTTCAGATTTGGTAAACTGAAATATTTACCTGTTCAGCCAGAAAAAAAAATGTGTTTTATCACCCAAATGCAACGCACCAGGTTGAGATATTTCAGTAACAGATTTTCTGCCTTTTAATATTTTTATCATGAAGTCACTACTGTGCATTTGCAGCTGTAGATTTAAATGAAAATTTTCTCTTGGACCTTAGATTCCTGTATGGATTCCTAGGATGGGTGTTAATCTTGAGTCAAGCAGCTTTTATTGGCAGGTAGCATTTTGTGTAATTTGATTGCATTAAATGTAGATCAAAGACAGGCTCTGAAGCATTATGGACTTGGATATAAATGTCTGTTTAACAGAGATCTTGGAATATTTTTACATTACAAAACTCATTAAGAATATAGCATGCAATTAGTTTTACACTATAGATTTTTGATTTCTAGCAATTAGAGGGAAAAGCAGAGCCTTTAAATCGTGCAGATGGCATTTTTCTATTGACTTTATTGATATTTTAAATTTAAACTCTTTGAGCATGAATAAGACTTCTTGGGAATTCATTTTCCTAAAGTGCTAATTCAGTATTTGAACTATCTAGTCTCTCTTTGTATATAGAAGTATCGAAGAAGGACTTTCTCCTGTGATGGAAAATGATTTGAAGGATAGGGATGTAGTCTGAGGTGAGCTGATCAAGTCTTGGAAAACTGGTGCAGTCGCATATGGTCTGCACTGAAAGAAGAAGAGATTTACAGTCAGCATATGTGCAATCAACATAAGGCAAAATGTGCAGGTAAAGGAAGCATTTCTCTACACATTACAGTTAGGAGAGCCTTTCTGATCTTCTGGCTAGTTGATGTGTAGGTGCTTTGCAGTTGTTTTCATTGTAAATAAGGCTCTGTTAAGGAGTGTATGTATTTGGTGGGTTCATAATCACTTATTTGAATTTAAAATAGGTCTTTGTGACATGTAAAATGTAAAGTAATGTTAAGTGACTTACGTAGCCTCTCTGTAGAGCAGCACATTGGTTTCCTGGGATGCAAAGATCAATATTTAGAGAGATGCTGCCTTTAACCGTGGTTTTTGGATGCGATGAGCTCTAACTCTCAGATGGCAGAAACTTCATGTTCATGCGTGGAAGGTGAATATTGCTTGAAAACCAGATAGTGGGTATGTGGTAGAACTCCACGCTACCTGCCTTTTTGCTAGAATAGAATTTCTATCTAAAGCAGGAAAAATCAGTGTGGCTGGTTTAAAGCCCAATTAAATGTCCATAAGTTTTAATATATCTGGCTGCTTTTTAAAAGAAAAAACCTTAGTCAGTAGGACACTTAAGATATAGCAAGAATATGTTAATTAGAATTGAGAGAAAAATGTGTATTATGAATTAATAATGATGTGAAAATGATGTGAGGGGTTGGGAAGGATAGGCTCGCTTGCTTCATCTTTGCTTTGATAGATACTTTAGGACTGTAGGGTATGTAGTACTCTGTGTTTCCAATGACTTATGTTCTCAAAATGTCCGTTCTATCTGTAACACTTTCTTTAATATGGGCAGTATGGCTTTTTCTTTCATACAATGCTTTAAGCTCACCATATGCAGTGCTCTGTTCCAGACTATAACTCTATAACTTAAAAGTGTTGTTAATGACTAGGCAATTTATGATTCTGATATATAGTACTTATAAACCACTGTTATCTATCTTTTTGTTTAGGTTTTTCAAGATCCTTAAGGATAGATTATACTTCTTCTGCAACCTCTGCCTCAAGTGTAAAACTTCTGATTTCATTAAGCCTGTGCTACAATGATGGTGGATGTTCCTTAAAGCTTTTGTGAGAATGTTTCTGCTGTACCTGCGTTGGCAGATGACGTGCATCATATTGTAAAGGCTGCTTCGATTGATGGATCCTGCTGTTGCTCTTTGGAGATCATGCTACTTATAGTGCGCTGGTGTTACGCTGGTGAACTGGTCCAATGTCAAGTTAAACTGAAGAATGTCACCCCTTAAACCAAGGAGTTCAAACCCTGTTTCCTCTACTGGACCAGAATTGTACATCCAAGCTGAAGAACTGTTTCAAAAGAATGTAGATAATTTCAACCTTTTTCCAGCTGTTAAAGACAATCTGTTCTTAGCTTTTGGATTGGGTGATCCTCTGTTTGGCTTATTTACCGTTCTCTGACATAAGATATGTTAAGTTAGAATTTGCCTATGCTAGTGAGAGAAGAGAAAGGAAAGGCAGATGATTTATCAAAATCGGATCCTTCTCTTCAAGGGGTATGAGTGACTGAACAGCAACACAGTCTAAATACCTGGGATTGTTTTTGTGTGTGTTGCAGCCTAATGCTAAGAGCCGATCTACTGCTAAGTGTATAAGAGAATGAGTTCAGTGCCTGTTGTTCCTAGAGGAACTGGAGGTGAGCAGCAGTACTTGCAGGTTTAGAGCTGCTCTTATCCAGACTAAGGATTGTGATGGTGTTGACAGAGGTTCTACTTTGTTTTATTCTCCTAGCACTGTGCTCATTGAGGGCTGTGCCTATAATGGCATTCAGACCGGCTTCATATGCCAGTTACAAGAATGTTTTACAGTCCTTGTGGCGTGGCATTTTATGTAGCATGTACTGGGACACAAATGTGTTAGACCTGGGAATTGGCTCTTTGCAGGAGTTTGGTTGGCTTTTCACAGGGCCACTGCAGAGCTATGGCAGTGCCAGGGATGTCACACAGCAGCCTTGCTCTGGGGCTGGCAGTGTACCCAAGGCCCTAAAGCCCATTGTGCTACTTGATGTGGAACTAAGCTGCTTCCCCAAAACTACTCCCAGTTCATTCCAAAACATTATTTCCAGGCTGCTTGGGCATGGGGTTCAGTAGTGTCCCAGCACAAGGGGGGCTCAGCTGCACACCACAGAGCATGGGGTGTGTGTATACAAGGAACACACCTGTACAGCACTTTTTAAAGAAGTAATATTTAGCACCTTCTTGCTCCAGTGTGCATGCTCTCATGTGATTTATGATGACTGTAAATAAGGGAATGGTACGGTTTGGCATTTTTGTCTTTATGCAGAAGAATTAAAGACTTTAAAAATTCCTGTTACTCTGCTTTTGCTGTTACATTGAGTTCCATTATAAAAGGAATATGTGGGTTCAGGAGTCCTCTTTGTGTGAGGGTGTTTTGTTTATTTGGGGTTGGTTTTTAGCCCTTGCCAAAACGGGGAAGGAGGATGCTTCAGAGATTAAGTCAGACTTTTAAAGGGAGTTCACACCTTGGTTTGTACCCAACCCCTCAGTTTGTATTTTGGTATCTTGTCATGAAGTTATATTTGGTGCATTGTAACCTAGTGGAAGGGAGCAGCTGAAGCCATAGTGTTCATTCTGCCATGAGGAAGATGTCTTCCTCAAGAGTATGGAGCAGTTGGGTGACAGTAGTAGGCTGTCGTGAAATAGTTAAGCTCAGTTTAAATATGAGAGCCCTTAAGGTTTTGCCTATTGTGGGTGGAGCCTGAAGTGGATTTATGGACAAATCCATAGGATTTATTCAGCAGTCCTTAAGAGATCTTGTGTTTTTTGGTTGAAGATACTTAAACTAGAAACAGGATAACCAGTCTGCCTTTGGCAGTTAAACTTGCAGTTAAATGGTGGCAGCTTTACTCTTTAATCTAGGTTCTGTACACTTGGACAAGCTATGGTAGCAAAAGCAGAGGAGTGAAACTGGGCAGATGAGGTTTGAGGTCTGCTGAAATCATTTCATGCTGTAGATGTAGAGCCATCATCACATCTAATTTGTAGCAGTAACCACATCAGTCTCAACAGAGCAGTTAAAACTGGAATGCAGTCCCTCCACTTGCTTATCTATCCAAGGCAATTTGAGATGAGCTTACAACAGGTAAGCAAAGCTGAAGTCTGTCACTCTGCCCCCAGCTTGGTTTTGATAGCCTTACATCAATGTTACCTATTGTCCTGGGTTCAGCTGTAGCAGTCATTTTTCTCCTTGGTAGCTGGTGCAGTGCTGTGTTTTTGACTTTCAGCCTGGGAACAGAGCTGATAACCCCAATGTTTTTAGTTGTTGCTAAGTCATGTTTACTCTGACCAAGGACTTTCTGAGTCTCATGCTCTGCCAGGGAGGGGAAGCCGGGAGGAAGCAGAGACAGGACACCTGACCCAAACTGACCAAAGAGGTATTCCATACCACAGCATGTCATGCCCGCTATATAAACTGGGGGCAGTTACCCGAAAGGGCGCGTTCTCTGCGCAGTCGGGCTGGGTTTCGATGGGTGGTGAGCGGTTGTATTCTCTTCCTTTGTTATTTCCCTTACCATTATTATAATTGGTGGCAGCAGTGGTTTATGTTATACCTTAGTTACTGGACTGTTCTTATCTCAACCTGTGGGAGTTACATTCTTTTGATTCTCTGTCCCTCCAGGAGCAGGTGGGGGGGAAGCAAGGGGGGAGTAAACTGCATGGTTCTGATTTACAGCCTGGGCTTAAACCACGATACTCGTTTTAATTAAATCTACTTTGCATAAACCTGTGCTCAGTTCGTAATTAAGCTGAAATGCGCTCTGAACTTCATCAGCCAGCTTGAAATTTCTTCCATGTATCTTCTGTTGGCATGCTTGTGCTGGGAGAATCTCCTCACAGGTGACATGCTATCTGTGCTTGTAAGAACAGTCGTTCCCTAGCAATTCTGGAATGACATTTGCTATGTGTACTTTGTTCTGGTTTTAAAGCTGCTCTTTGGGGGTCACAGTGATGAGGGTATCTCCCTCCTCCCCTTAAAATTCCCACTGTGAAGTGTTTTTGAAGGGTTCTCTTCGCTGACAAGGATGGCAAGGTGGAAGGCAGCTGGAATCCCTAGGATGTGTTTACAGTGGATAGTTCTGGATTAACTGAATTTTACCTGTAAGTAGCAATATGCTAAGAGTACTGTGTGATGCGCATGCTGGAGTTGTCCTTTCTCTGGCTTGCTTGGATGTGTTTGGGTTAAACATGCTGTTAAGTCAGTTTATCTGCAAGCAAGGCTGGAGGAAAGGGAGTTCCTACGTGTTTTGAGCCTACATTGTGCTTCCAGCATGTCCTTGGTGCAGCAACACAGTTCTGTTTTCCATAGCAGTGTGTGGGAAAGGATTGGTGCTAGCATAGCAAACATCCCTGCTGGAGCATGGGTGTTTATGCAGATGCCACACAGAAGGTGTGAGAGTTTGTACAGTTACAGGCAAAGGGAATCAAATGCCCAAGATAATTTCTTACACTACCATTTTCAGATCTCAGTGTTTCACTGTGCATAGAGCCAGCGACTGTTACCACCCAGAGACAGCGGTTTTGGAGATACCCTACTAGAGAGCTCTCGGGGGCAAAAACTGCAGGAAAACACCATTTCCAAACACATATTTACTAGGAGTCTTTGAGATGCACATACATAACGTGAATGCAGATGCAATTTGTAGAAGTGAAACATTTCAGTGGGGGGAAAAAGTGTAAAACTATTAAAAAGTTGAGGAAAAAGTAATGAAAAACAATAGACAGTAAACCAGCTGGTGAGACCCCACTAGTGCTCAAATGCTGAAGCCATTGCAAACCATTGTTGGAACATTTCCCAAGGCAGGCTGGCAGGGAGCAGTCTGATAATGGCTTCTTTATCTTGTGCCTTTTCAGAACAAAGTGTGTATTTCTCTCACTTTTAACACGACAATGTGCAATGAGCTTTGTGAATTCACCATGAAGAGGATCTCCGACACATCTGAGTGATCCTGAGCCTCACTGAGCAGCAGGTGCTTCCTCTTGACCTTCAAGACCAGATGTGTAACACTGCAGTGATCTCTGGTAGGAGAAAACTCAGGTTTTACTGAGCTGATCTGGCACCCTCATCTGCCGCCTTACCCTTGCTCTCATGCCCAGAGTTAAACACAGCTGTAGATACTGTGCTGTATGGTTTTGTACTGTCTTGAATAAAGCCCCCTTCTATATCTGCAAACTGAAAAGGGGTTAAGAAGGACTAGTTATTTGCCACATTTCAGGTGAAATGTTCCTATAGGCTGTTCTGTTCAATGCTCAAGATTAATCAGGAAATGGGAAGAAGTTCCTGGAACTGCTCAAGATCTGAGTCTAGAGACCTGGAGTTAATGGGAGCATGTGATGAAGAGAGGCAGAAATACTAAAATGCATTGCATACTGGAGTGTGCAGCAACACTAGTTTCAGCTACAGTTATGCTGTACAGGCAATTCATTCTTCCTAGTGCACAAAGGTTTGTACTGCCACCCACCCTGCTTGGTGCTTCTCTTCTTTCTGTGCAGCTTGTGGACAACAGGAGCTCTGAATCTGTGTAAATTATGACCAGAAACACAAGCCAAAGTAGCAGGCATCTTTCATTTCTATAACTGATTACATGGCAGTTGTGAAACCATGCTCCATTTCACCAGCAGAGATGCAAATTCTCCTTTTCAGCATCTACTTCAACCTTGCGACGCAGGAAGTATCTTCATAAAATCAAATGAAAACAAGTGCCACCTGTAAATGGCACTTCTCACTAGTGGGCTTTCGTAGTTGCTTTTGTCAGAAAATACCTGCTGCTCAGAAAATACCCAACACCACTTTTGTTTGCTACTTCTGCCATTCATTCAATACATTTCATTGCCAATCTTGCAAGTGTTATGCAAATAGAGCCTCTCAGAGGCTCTATTTGAGTAACAGTAATATATATAACAAAAAATATATAATATATACAATAAATATATATACAATAAATATATATATAATATATAACAAAATAATGACAATTAGCTTCACTTCACGTTTGTGTCAAAACTGCTTCCACAGCGTAAAAGAAGATGGGGTCGTGGTCATAGGAGAATCCCATCTGCAGAGAACAGAAGGCCCAATATGCAGCAGACAGAACCCACTTCCTAGGAAGTCTGCTGCCTCCCTTGGGGCCCAGGTTAAAGATGTGAGGAGAAAGTTTCTTATCCCTGGTACAGCCCTCAGATTACCATCCAGTATTGACTTTTTAGGGGGGGTAGTGATGAAGTTAGAAGTCAAGAGAGGCTTCTCTGAGGTCTGTGTCAGTCTTTTCTCCCATGTAACAAGTGATAAGACAAGAGGAAATGACCAAGTTGTGCCAGGGAAGATTAAGACTGGATACTAGGAAAAATATATCTATTGAAAAGGTTGTCAAGCACCGGACCAGGCTGCCCAGGGAAGCATCACTGCCCCTGGAGGTACTTAAAAGACAGGTAGATGTGACACTAGGGGACACAGTTTAGTGGTGGACATGCAGTGTTGGGTTAACGGTTGGATTTATGGTTTTAAAGATCTTTTTCAACCTAAATGATTCTGTGATTCTGAGTCCGGAAGGATAAAACGCTGCTCAGCCGTACATGCCTCAGGTGTCCCGCTGGTCCAGGTGCGTGCTCTACCGCAGGAGTTAGGCTGTTCCCAAATGACCGATGTAAAACCCGGCGCACACCGCATCTCTCACACGGGCAGGATCTCTCTGCGCAAGCGCCACGCGTGTGCGGTAACAAACCCCGCTAATTAAAGCACCGCCGCCTTCCCGCCCCCCGACAGCGCGCCAAAACCGCGCGCCACCGCGCTTGAGTCTCCCGCCAACACGCCCCGTGGAGGGGCGGGGCCGGGAGGGGGAGCGGGCTAAACCATTGCACCCCCGGGGGAGGGAGAGTATGGGAGGTGATTTTGGGGCTGTCTATGAGGGAGCGCTGCGGCTGGCAGCGTGTTCGCTTCATGCCCGGCAGCGGGCTCTGCTCGGCGGGGTTATGAGGGGAGAGGATTCCGGTTGGCGGCTTCGCTTTCCCCTTCTTCACCCCCCCGCATACCTGTCCTAATGGAGAGTCCGGCGCAAGTTCCCCTCAGGGAGGCGGGGCGAGCGGCGTCAGTCAGCGCCGGCGGGAGATGCGAAGGGGCTGAGCGGGAAGGAAAGCCGCCGTACCTCACCGCTTCTCCCTTCCGTGCAGCCCGCTGCGGCATTCTCGCTGCCCGCCTCTCCCCCGCAGCCCTCCCGGAGACACCCGGCGCCATGTCCTTCCGCCAGAGGAGCCCGCACGGCAGCACCACGAGCAGGTAGGACCGCTGTGCCCCAGGAG